AAACAAATCTTTAATTTTTTTCAATTTTAATTAAATAATATTTATATTTTTTATTTAATTTTTATAATTTCCTTTCGTTTAATTTTTTTTGTTATTATTATTATTATTTTGGTGATAATTTTAAAAATTCTTTAATTTTTTTATTCTTATTATAATTTAATGTTTTTCAATTTAAAATACTTTTTAATATTCTTGCTCTATTTTTTATATTTTTATAATTTTCTTTAATTTATTTTTCCTTTTTTAAAAATTTTTGGTCATTAATTTGTATTTAATTTAATTTATTATTTTTTCTTTTTTTAAAAACAAATCATATTTATTTTCTATTTATCATAATTTCAACTTTTTTCAATTTAAAATGTTTTTTATATTATTTCTTTAATTTTTATATTATTTTTTTCTTTAATTTATTTTTTCCCCTAATTCTTCTTTTTTTTTTCTCTCTTTTAATTTATTAAATCATTTTTTTTATTAGCGTCGGTGTAAAATGAATCTATTTATTATGAATAGTAATTACAATTCGATTCGCTTAATTTTCTAATATTATGTTTTATTCCATTATCTCTTGTTGAAAATTCTAACATTTAATTTTGTAGAATAGAGTACCATCTCGATACTAAACTGAGACAGATGGCGAGAAAATGTACTTGAAACAGTAATTTTGATAGTTTTACTACTGTATTGGAATTGCTCAATGATCAAAACTAAGATATGTTAAGACAGTCATTCATGTGACCCCTGTATCGGTTGAGATATGTCAATACCCTAGGCAAAACATTAATGCATTACTACGTCGACTGGTTAGGCCAGTCAACAACAATGCTCTCCACTTCGACATTGGGGGTAAGGTCACTAGTTTCTCTATGTTTGAGTTTGTCTTGATGATTGGACTGAAGATTATAGGCGATGAAGCAGCTAGCTACGGTACTCAAAGAAGTAATAGGCTATACGACACATATTTTCAAGGACAAAGGACGGCACTTCTATTGCAATTGATTGGCGCAATCAAGGAGTGCGACCAGATATTGAACAGATTGAAGTTGTGACTGATTTATATCCTTGAGAACGTGGTGAGGTGTCATCATAAAAAGGTTGTGATGTACCTTTTCCATTTGAAAATTGTTGATGCCTTCAACAACTATATGTGGGGTCAGAGATGTTTTGAGGGCACCGTATACATCTTCACCAGATCACATTCGAAGCCCAATGAGTCCTTGCGTAAGTACGATAAATGTTTTATATAATCAACGTTAAAATATATTTTATACTAAATTTATATATAATAATTGTATGTGCTGTAGATCTGAGCATATGAGATTGTCCCCCTTTTGGGCGCCCGATTTGCGAAGAGGAAGGAGACACATTGCCATCGGATGCATCATTAGTGAGCATCTCGAGTAGATGTTGTCCATCGATAGACAGTCATTAGCTTTCTTCGATGACCATTGGGTGAGTACCATTCATTTGTGATTAATATTGTATGTCGTTTCAAAATTTCAGCGCATGATCATTAACTAGTTGAAATGTCAATATGTAAACTTGAAGTCATACTGAGTTGACGCTATCGACAGAGGAGGAGGGTCAATGTTTTGTGCCTAAATTAGCCGTTTCGCATACTCAATATGACCAGATGTCTGATTCCAACCTGGACCGAGATTGGGTGTGTGAATTGAATATAATTTGTTGATTACCGTTTGTATCAATTAACCTATTTTAATGTTGTTAGTTGTATGAAAACAAAGTATGTGGACCTGACTGCAACTTCCAATAGTTGATTCAGAACATGAAACTGTGGTTGAAGATTAACATTAATAGATTTCACATCTGTCTAATTGTTATTTAGGAGAATTTGACTTGTACAAAATTGGTTGATTACCGTTTTATACGAGTTAACCTATTTTAACAAATTTTGTAATTTGACTAACATGATTCGTAACATTGCCAAATTCAAACATAATTTGTCAAGTGACCTCGATATATTGCAAAATTATAAGAAAATCGGATATATAATGTCATGAGTCTTGATTCAATCCACAAGTTAGCAGTGTTGTAGGTAGCATTCTAGTCCACAAGCACTCGATAAGTGAAAATCACAATCACTAATGATGTTTCGCGATAATCGTAATACGTAACCACATTATTGAAGAACACCATGCTAAAAGGGCGAATGTTTCATGCACATTTCACCCATTCTATCAACCATGTTACAAGCCACATCGTAGATTCAGTCAATTTTGATAAATGAATATCGATAAAAGGGTTAAACTAAAATGAAAAATACAAGTTAGATGATAAAATTGAAATAGATTGGAATTAGGTAAAACTTCCAATGATTTTTTTGCCATGTATCTTGTCCTTTGTAATAAAAATGTTTACTAACGCATTAAAAACTACGAGTGGTGTTTATCTCTGAGTAGATAACTAATGTACGAATCAACTCACTCTCTCCCACTGCAATTCCTTCTCCTAGAGAGAGAAAGTGAAGAGAGAAGTGTTTCAACCAAGTCGAGAAGAATTATACATCAAACTGAAATGGTTATTTGCTTTGGAGAGGAGTAGAGTTGTTTGAATTTAAATATAGTCAGTTTCTATTCTTCTTTTGATTTTCTTTAGAGATTATTAAGGGCGCTTTGTTGTCATTCATGTTAAATTTAATTTTGTGATTTCAATACCTGAAAGTACGCTTGAATGACTATTTCTATTCATTTCTCACGTGTAAGGACTTCTCACAATATGCAGTTATGGTACCCTAGAATTTGATTCGGGAATATATACTTCAAAAAGTGATATTTACAGTTTTGGAGTGGTGATGTAGGAACTCTTAATAGGTAGAATTTCGAATGACAGGTAATAGAATTGTTGAACAATCATTCTAAATTTACGGGGATATGTCCTTGTCTTCCAGTTGCTTCATTTTCTTCCAAATGTAATTAGGACACAGAGGCGAGGGGAGCAATTATTGGTCAGATGGGCAATCCCTTAGCTTCATGACATTGACTCCTTTTCTCAAATGGTTGATTATGCTCTCAATGGGAAATGTCCAGTTAAATCTTTATCACACTTCGTTGACATTATCTCCCGATGTGTCCACGTGAGTTAAAGTTATAGTTACCTTTCTTAATTCATTGCACTCGAGGTGTCATAAGTTTCAAGATTGTCATGTTTTGTGACTCAAATTCCACGTATTTTGAAAGTTTGATTTATGGAGGAAGCCTAGATAATTTTGGTTTGGAAGTTTGATTTGATAAGGAATCAAATTTTATCATGTATTGAGATTTTGATTGAAAAAAGGACTTTGAAATGGATGAAAAAAGTATTTTGGAAGCATTAGGACGGAGGACGTGGCGCCCCGACAATACGTACGCAAAAGAAGGCAGCAAAGCCAGCGCCGCCTGCCACGGGGAGAATTTTACTCCTTTTTGGTTTTTGACATGGTTTTATGTTCTATTTCATCCATAACTCCGAGATTTGGCTCCTATAAATACTCCAAAGTATAGGCTCTTTGTTGACAAAAAGAAAGACTCGAGATAACAAAAAGCAGGCCGCTGAATGGATGCCTCGACCCTAACATGACTTGAAGTTCTCTTTGACGAGCGCTCTCAAGAACACGTATAGAGTAATAAATTCGTAAGATTCTTCATCGTCTTGTCATCTTGATTCTTCTTGTCAATTAATTGCCGTTTTAGTGTTCATTACACAATGAAGGTTTGCTACTTAGTGTGCTAACCCAATTGTTTGGTACAAAATCTGTGCAGGACATGTTTATGTTCCATAGTATGTCTCATCTCACAATTAAGGACCGGAATGTAACAATCTAATATACCAATCAAACATTGGTTCTATCTCCGTCAAAACCGATTTATGATTTTGTTAATGAGACTACTTTCTCGTGAAATTATCTTGAATCGAGAACTCTCGACTTAAAAAGTCATTCAAGGTTTTGCTGAGGGAGCAACTCTAATATTTCACCTTGAATTGATCAATGGACCTTGTTATACGTACATCAAGATTTATATAATGTCACATGATACTCTAACATTTGTCAGTTTAAAATGCAATCAACTTTTTCATCTAATCTTTTCACTCCACATCATTTTCAATAACAGTGTATACACATTTTTTATGTAGAAATAGCAAAATCCTTGATCAATTGGATGAAATCAATCACATTGCCAATTAAAAGTTGCTCATATTGGGTCTCTTAATCCTTGTGAACAAAATAATATACACAAGGAGTCATATGAAACAAAATAAATTTAAATTAAGATAATTAATTTTAATAAGAAGGAAGGTATCTTAATATGTTTTTTGGTGTGTTTGAGCCATATTATTTTGGAATGATGTATTTTTGAATAATAGATTGATGGAGAATGTGTGGTTTAGTTTGAGGAAAATATTATTTTATTGAAAAATGTGTGATTGAAAATGAGTAGAAGAATGTAAATGAAAATTTATTGTGGCTCAAACGGGGCTTTAGTTTGAGGAAAATTAAATTTGGGTCCCTGAACTTCTGATTAGTGTGATTTCAGGTCCTCAACTGAATTTCCTATTTAAATGGACCGTGCTGGAAGAACAAGAAAATTTCCGTACTGCCAGAGAACACACAATGGAGGATGGGTGGGAGAGGTTTTGCCAATTTTTTATTCACATGGGGCCCATCCCCATGTCAGACAATTTGAAAATTCTGTGTCAAATCCTGTAAAATTTTGCCTGTACTCATAGCTTTATCCTATTTAAATTATGAATCTGGATCCCATGGGACAAATATGGAATTTAAATCGCAACTGACTCAAATTTGGAAGACAAAATTGTCTGACTCAACATTTAACTTTAAATCATGAGATAATAGTAATAATTTTGATGTCCATAGCCAGAAGCACGTCACTTGTTTGTTGATTTTACATTTATCTATTCTTTGAGTAATTATTTACGTACTCAATTAGCAAGATATAAATCGAGATCTGAGATCCAACTTAATTAAATTCAATTTATCGCGTTTATGTGCTACCACGATTGGCCTGGCAGGCTGGCACTCGTGCGCGTTTATACTCTAACCCGGCAGTAACATCGTTAATACAAATAATACAATTTTGGTGGGAATTTGACAGTTCCATCGTTTAAAGGAATAGAGAAAAATATAAAAAATCTCGCGGGCCGTACATTCTCCCTAAGGCCAAAAATCAAAACCCTATTTCTTACCATTTACCCATTACCAATCTTTTCGATTCCTTGTTTTTTCTTTTTTCCCTTCCATTTTCTTTAAAGCTGGTTTGTATAATTTCATTTTTTTTTAATTCGTTGTTATGGCTGGCCGTTATGATTCCAATCCGTTTGATGAAGAAGAAGAAGATAATCCGTTTGCGGTAATTCTCAAATATTTAAACACAATATACGCTATAAATATAATGCCTATTGATGATTTAGATATTGCGGTTTTGTAGAATTTGTTCCGTTCTGTTGACAACGTGACTCTAATAATGCAATGCTTGATGGATTTTTTGATGTTTGCTGCGTGAAATGAGAGATCTGTTAAACTTAAATCCAAATTATAGTTTTTATCGTAAGTTCTTAGAGGACAATTCTTAAATTATTAACATAACAGGTGAAAACCTTGATGTTTCACTGGATTGACTCTGCTATGACTTTTTTAAAGTTAAATTTGCTATGAAACCGTTCTTAAGCCAGATCAGTGATTAACGTATTATGTCTATGCCCATAAGTACGAGTAATTTTTAAGGATTTGTGACTGAAGTTTGCTCCAGAAAAATAAAGAAGCTACTATTGAGAGATTATTTATTTTGTTTTCTTTTTGGTGTGATCACACCTGCAACTGCTATCTGCAATGTCTTAATCACACTTACAGAGATAACAAAAAATTTGGTGAAAGGGGCTTCAAGATATACATATGTTCTATCATCAAGTGATCATCTCTTGTTTTTTTTTTTGATAGGTAATAGTGATCATCTCTTGTTTTAGTTTTGGAACTAGGAATATAGGACTGATAAGAAAATAAATTCTATTAGAAATTTTTTTCAATGAATTGGTTGTCATTGAAACCATAGAGTGTGTATCTTCAACTATAAAAAATCATACATTCTTTTTTCTATGTTTTCAACTTCTATTGAAAAGTCTACAAGTTTGAATCTTAACAAGGCCAAAGGCCATATTTTCTTTCTTTAATTAGCTTTCTGTCAGTTTCTGCCTTTCTGGCACAGGGTCCAGGAAATAAACCTGAGGGCATAGATCAAAAGATTTTGTTTATTATGGAAGTATGCCAAAGGGAAATGATACCCTAGAAAGTTTGAATGTATATGATACCTATCCACAATCGATATCATTCACCCAATTTTACTAGCATCAAACTGTAGATTGCATTCAAACGTATCATTTTTGGGCAACATTAGATTATATTTTAGGCTCTTGCTTGGTAGTGCTTATAAGTTTTAAGCTGTGAGTTCTATGGAATGTGTGGGTAATATGTGGGTTGTATGTTTTTGATCTTAAGAAATGTGTGGATAAATATTATGTTTGACCAGCTTAAATTGAAATTTTAGCTTTGCCAAACATGCTCAAGGTTGTTTAGATATGGATATGATGTCCGTGAACTTTTAGAACCTACGTAGGGATATATTCTGGTAATTCTAATGAAAGCAACTATCTTAGTGTACATATCTGGTAATCCTAACAGGTTCGTTGGTAAGTTTGATTTGTCTTGGTATGTCATGGCATAAACAAGAACAACTTGACTTTTAAATTCATCCTTCCTATGAAAATTTCCTTTCCTTTCATTTCTTTCTTGCTCACATCCATGTTATTTATTTAACTGAATTTGTAGTACTGTTTATTTACGGATCTGAGCTTCTGACTTCAGGATCAAGGATCTCGAGGTACGGGTCAATCAAATTATGGTGGAGGTGCATTTTATATGATTGTGAGCCTTTTGTCCTTCTGAAAATTTCCAGTTCACGGTAGTTTATCTGGACTTGTTGAAAGCCTAGACTATAATAGCTAGGTTCCCCTCTCTCTCTGGATTTTCTGCTTGCTGATTTTGCATATGGGATAGATCATACTTGGGATGCTTGTTCTTTGAATATTTTGAATTTTTTGCATCTATATACAGGAATTTTAACCTTTCTATCTTGTCTTCCCCAGTTAAATGTATGATGGAATCTCATGCTTGTGATTATCTGATGAGATAACAAGATTTAACTAACTAAATAATAAAAAAAACTTGAATGAAAACAAGAATATTGGAATAGATCAAATTAAGCACTAGAGATTTGGTACTCTAGGCTTAAAATCCACAAAACAGAAGTTTTGTGAACCGAAAAATAGAATTATTAAAATTTTACGCTTGCTGGACTAAATATGCCAAGTTTTAGGTTCCATGAACCTTAGACTGAAAAATCTTACTAGCAAATAAAATCTACAAGAAAAGAAATTCCAATTCGAGGAGAAAATCTAAATGAAATACAAACTAGACTCAAAGTCCAATTAAAACACTATCTATGACCAACTAGAGGTTAAGTCGAATTAGAATACGGACATTTGTTCAAGGAGCATTAGTGAAAAAATATCTAAACTTTTTTCTTGCATCATTGTGGTTAAACATCATGTTTATTTTTTGTTTTTGGAATCAAATTCAGTTAAAAGTCTTTCAAGAGTTATCTATTTTGCCTAAATATGTGCCTGGTAATTTTATGCATAGTTTTTCTCCTCTCTATCTAATATTGTGTAGATCACAGTCTTGTTTCATTAAGAAATTTTTTCTTTAAAAGTTATGCAGGTAGTTTGTGGAAATATTATTATTATTATTATTTTTTTCTTTTTTATGTATTTTGATAATGCTTTTACATGTTTTCTATTTTGTTGACATATCAGAATCCTGGAAGTGTGCCTGCTGCAAACTCAAGGCTTTCACCTCTTCCTCCTGAACCTGCTGGGTATGATCGTGGTGCAACAGTTGATATTCCTCTTGATAGTTCCGATGTATGTCAGATTGTCAATGAATTACGCTTGTTGACCAACTTAATAATTTTTTTCTATGCCTGTAGTTTAACCAGAGTTAAAATAATTTACTTGCATACCTTTTCCAGGACCTTAAAGAGAGAGAAAAAGAACTGAAAGCTAAAGAGGCAGAACTGAAAAAAAGGGAACAGGTTCGTTTCTGTTTTGTCCCATTCGAGATTCTAATTTGGTTGAATTATGACCATACATGCATTCTAGTTCAATCTCTTTTTGTGTAAATGTGGTTGGCTGGTTAATTATGTTAGTTGATGCTTGTATTACTTGGAATCAGGTATGGCTGAGGATAATAGTTGAATTAAGATCCCTGTACCCTGGGTTCAGTCAAGAACATATTTGTAAAATAATTTAATATTAAGATGCACTACATAATTTGATAAGGGAAAAAGAGTCAAGGCTATGAATTTCATAGAAAAAGTATACATTATAACTGAAAATGATGCTTAAGAGAACTAATCTTGTTACTTTGTTGGTATATGGTTATTTTGTCATAGTTCGGGCCTGTTTCAGGTATGAGAGACTCGTTTCCATTTGCATATTGTTGGACATGTATGAGGTTTAATGTCAAATGTATTGTCCTTTTGTAAATAGCATATTATGTGACCAAAATATCTGAGTAAACAAGTTGGTACAAGTTTTTTCTGATACATTCCGTCTGAATTCTGATGTCTGGACAACAAAACTGTCACTGGGCTGTAGTATTTGCTCTTTGTTATGCTAAGATACTTTGACTTCATCCCTGTAACTATACTAGAATCTCCAGTTTTAATTCTTTTAAGTTTTCTCCTTGTGTTAAAATTTTGATTTACACCTGGTACTTAAAATACTATTATATTCTCATACTTCTAATATTTTTTCACATTTCTATCAGTAATTGTTGTTGTTGTTGTTATTATTATTATTATTATTATTTTATTTTCTTTTTTGGTTTCATGCAGGAACTAAAAAGGAGGGAAGATGCTATTGCACGATGTAATTTCTTTTCTGATGTGTACTTGTTCATCTTATGCAGACCTGATTGGTTGAATTCTGCTCTTATTTAATATTTAACATATCGATGAGTATGCGCTTTTCTTGGGCAGCTGGAGTTGTTATTGAGGAAAAAAATTGGCCACCATTTTTTCCTATTATTCATCATGATATTGGAAATGAAATCCCAATCCATCTGCAGAAGCTGCAATATGTTGCATTCACGTCGTTTTTGGGTAAATTCACTTTACTGTGATATATTTACTTAGGTTATCCTGTTATAATTGTCGACTTAAGGTTCAGTAATCTTCTATTATCTTTCCTCAACAGGATAGTCATTATTTACAAGTTCCCAAGTAATCTCACTAGTGTCTTAATCACTATTTTAAATCTTAGGGAAGATTAATTGAACAATAGTTTTCCACAATTATTATCTGCCAATGATTTGAAGAATAATCATGGATCTAACATAAGTAGGATATATTGAAAAGGGTTGTGAGCTATGTTAATAACTCGCAATCTACAGTTCTTGTCTAACTTCATAGTAAAGTTCTTTAACACGTGTTTGAAATTTTCTCCAAGGATTGGAATATGGACTTGATCAAGTTCAGGGTTCAGTTATGCCTAGGTGGTGATATTTGTATCCCTAGGTGTGTTTACTAGGGTGGTGAGTATCATTTGCTGCTAGAGAAGGAAGTGGCTATCTCTCATGCAATTGCACAGCAACATTGATTCCGTTTTACGGATGCATGTCCAGTTTCAGTTCAAAGAAATGGACAATTTGTTCGCTCACAGAAAGTGTACTGTACTGTTGTCCTGGTTGGACCCAAAAGAAGAGCCTCACCCAAGCTCTCTCTTACTCTGTCTCAAGTCATAGTTTTTTCATTCTGCACTATTAAACAGCTAATGCAACAGAATAATCTAATGGAAAATTACATTGTAATATACTTGAGTGTGCAACTACATTATATTATATAGATGATTTAGGTTTAGTTTGGTATTGCTATAATTTTTAAAAAAAATCAGCTTTAGCTGTGCTGAAGAAAGTACTACTGTAATAGTTGTGGGAAGAATCAATTAAATGTTTAACAAACTTTTGTTTCAGAGTTGATGTGTGTTTAAAAATTAACATTTGAGTGTTTGGTACACAAGTATTTCATTGTTGAGTCTGTATACAATTACTAAAATGGACATTGATTATAATTGTGTCCTTTTGTATTATGATTATTATCATTAGTAGTATCTTAAAATCTATTTTTACTTTTATAAAAATATGTAATATAATTACATATATAATATATTCACCATAGTTCTATCAAAATTTATAATTAGAGTATTCTTGGATGTAGAATGCTAACAACCTATAGTAGAAAACAAATTATTTTTGTTCATGACGGTTAAAATTAGTATTTTTATGAATATTAATTGGTGAAACTAAAAGCAGAATTTCAAAAGCTCCTATCAAAAAAGAATTTCAAAAACTACCCTTTTGTTGCTGTTCGAGGTGGTATAGAATCTTCCATAGTTAGTTTTTTCCTTTTTCAGTTTACCAAACACCTAAAAAAGATGTGATTGTTTGACATTACGGGCGTGTTCGGTAGAGATTAAAATTGGATTAAAATTGAAAAACTAGCCGTTATTGTTGACTTTTATTAGATGGGTGGGACTCAATAACGACCATATTTTCAATTTTAATTGGATTTTAAGCTATACCGAACAGGTCCTAAGTTAGGGCTTTAAAAGCAATCCCAAACTGAGACTTATAGTTGTTAAACTTCTGTTATCATTTTTCTTGATTAGGAGATTTTACCTTTCATAATGGCCACGTTTAGTATCACCTCTCCCCAACATATGCATTGTCTTTTTTCCATCAATAATATGAAACTCGTAAAGTTCAGTTGTTTAATTTGATTTTATGAGTGCAAATGTAATGGATATTAAAGAGATTATGCTTCTAATTTTAAGCATATAACAGCAGATGACAGAATATGAAGTTGTCTTTTTCTTTGGTTTTCATTTCTTTTTGTGGTTAGTGCTGTTCTTGGGTCTGCTTGGAAGATGAAAAGTCTTGAAAAAGTTCTAAATTATGTAAAAAATAGTTCTGTTACACATTTGGCTTCTGAGTTCTGGTTATTCTTTCTTAAAGTGGAGTACATGTCTGTTTCACTTAGTTGGAAAGGAATCTGTAGGCATGTCCTGAAAGTGGTGCTGGGACTTCATCTTTGCTGCAATTGAGCCTAGGAGTCTGCAATATGTTGTTTCTCCTGCCCCCGTCTAAGCCTATATCTCACTGTAATAGTAATAGTAATATATTGGATGACTAAAAAGTATATAGCTATATAAAATATTTGTGATAATTTTTATGATAGCAATAATGAGTTGACTTAGTTTATGCTGGGTTCATATTATTGCTGGCGACTTGCAGGTTTGATAGTGTGTCTTCTATGGAACGTTGTAGCAGTTACCTTAGCTTGGATTAAAGGGGAAGGTTGGTGTTTACATATTCCAGTATTCTTAAGTTGACTACAATCAATAAACCTATAGATAGCATTTATACTTTTTCCCTGCTGTAGGTCCAACAATTTGGTTTCTTGCCATAATATACTTCATATCGGGTGTTCCAGGAGCCTATGTATTCTGGTATCGTCCACTTTATCGTGCAATGCGGTACCTACAGAGTTCCCTTCTTTCCCTCTTTCTTTTTCTGACTTTGAGCAAATTTTGTATGAATCTCAATTTTTTTATTTTTTTTGGTTTTAGCCAACTGTTTGATTTGCAAACCCCATTGGATATGAAACTGTATTTATTAACTTCAAGTTTTTTGTATATTTGTTGTTTCTTTTCACTTATTTAGTAGTCCGACAATGTGTCACTGGTGTAATTGTATTATTGCTAGAAAGTTCATTTTGTTTTTATTAACTTGTTAAAGACAAATTTATGTACCCATGGTAGTTTAGGCCTGCTTATTATCATTGTTTATTACATACTCAATTCCTTTTATTATACTGATATGTATTTTATAATTGGTCTTTGGTCTCATTGCAGGACAGACAGTGCTTTGAAGTTCACTTGGTTCTTCTTGAGTTACGTGGTAAGTTCACAGTTGATTTTCTTGTAAAATTTTATTTTGTACATATAAGGTGCTTGACAATCTTGTTCTTGCTCCTTTGCTTTATATGCAGTTTCATATTGGCTTCTGCGTCTTGGCTGCCATTGCTCCTCCAATCATTTTTAAAGGAAAATCTTTGACGTAAGTTCTTGTTGACGTATTTGGTTTAAATGCAAATGTGATGCAACGATGATGGGCTTCTGTTACACGAATGCAAGCAAAAGGGAAAACAAAGGGGAAAAAGCAAACTTAAAATGTACAGAACGAAAATAACATGCAGTTCTGAAGAATGATGAATTGTGAAGAAAAATTAAACAGAAAAGAAGCCCATCCTATCTTGTGTTTTCTATTCTGTGTATTGCATGCTGATGCGCTTCCCAATATCTTTCTTTTGACAGTGGAATCTTGCCTGCAATTGACGTTTTAAGTGGTAACGCTTTGGTTGGGGTAAGCTTGTTCAGATCATATGGTGTTTCAAATTGCTTTTCTGAATATGTCAAACTACTGATATTGTTATCATAAGTTTTTGGATTCTGCTGAAATCTTACTTGGAAAATTGGAGTATAGAATTTTAGGCATCACAATGTCATTGAACTTCTTGTTCATGGCATTTAATTGAAATCTACACTGTTATCACACAAAAAAAAATTGAAATATGCAACTTCATGAGAACTGATAGGAAGAAAAACTATTTCAATTTGTAACATAGTTAGTGAATCAGTATTTTGTTCCTCAATTGCTTGGTGTTGCTGTCAGCGTTTGCTGTACAACATGATAGTTTTGAGGAAACATTATGACCATTGAGATGTGTTCCTATTTGCAGATATTCTATCTTGTGGGATTTGGATTCTTCTCTATTGAATCCCTGATTAGCATATGGGTTATTCAGGTTTTTATCATCTTTTCTTCGTTGGTTTCCCAATCTTAATACTGGTCTTATCTGAACTTTTATCAATTTCTGTGATTATACAGCAAGTTTACACGTACTTCAGAGGTAGTGGAAAAGCTGCAGAGATGAAGAGAGAAGCAGCAAGATCAACTATGATGGCAGCATTGTGATATGAGAGTTAAGTAGCGGAGGTAGTTTGTGTTTACCTGGCCTGATTGTTTAATTCTTCGATTCTTGTTATGATACTCTCTGATACATAGTAAACCAGTATAGAACAGATTAATTCTTTGACCAAGAACATCTCTCTCTGCCGTTTCCCATCACTGTGGGTATGTGTTGTACACTGTTTTTACCATTCACTTCAAATCTGAAAAGGTCAAGGCGAGGGAGACATAATTGATATAACAATTGATTTTCGTACAGTTCAAATTTAGTGACTAATGTGTAATTTACTTAGTCTCTCACAGCTTACCTGGAAAATTTCAAAACCGATATAGTTAACTTTGGCAGTCAACATACAAAACAGTAATTTGCAATAAAGACTGAGCATTAGCATTTGACCTCTAGAAATTAGAAGCTTTTCTGTTTTCAGGAAGGTTTCTTCCCAGAATCCGTTGGGAATTTTGGGATATTATTTTCCCTAACCCCCTTTGTGGTGGTGTGGAAGTCAGTCATTATTATGCATTTTTTGAGAATATTTATGCTCAGTAATGGATTTTGTTACATTAGAGGTAGATCTCATGTAAAACAAAATTTTTTTCCATCCATTTATGGTCAGCAGGATTCTTCATTCTATTAACAAAATTTTTTGTCCTAATATTATGCTCAGTACTGTGATTTATACCAGAACAATTTTCTTCAGAAAGAGAGTAAGAAGACTTAATATTGATGTTTTTGTTATAATGCTTCCCATGCTGATTGATTTCTGCAGTTAGAATCGTAGAATTTTGACTAATTTGTGGAAGGAAATTCTTGATATTCCATATAAGATTTTGAAGTAATTTCTCACATAAGCTAAGGATAGTTTATTTAATGGCATTGGATATAAATTGTATGGTTACTATTAAATGTTTGAGTGCAAGACACGGTGGGATGAAAATCACAATGAGTAATGTTACTATTTCAACTTGTTTTTGTAAAGGTCCGCTATTCCTGTTTAGTAAAGCTTATAGTTACGTATATGTTAATTAAACTTTATTTTTATGCACACAGTTTATAGGACCTACAATTTTTTTTTACTTACTTTTTAAGTTTTAACCGTATTCTTTGGGACTCACTGTTTATATTATAAACTTTGACGAACATGACAAGGTGGCCCTAAACTGAGAAAAACATAGAGCCACCATAACTCAAATTTCACATTATTGTGCGCTCAATGGAATCAAATTTGTAGATGATATGCACATGCATCTCTACGAGTATGTGCATGATTCTGCATCCCTTCTTTTATCCTGGCTCTCTATTAGAAATTCTGTGATGATGCATGTTTGGTAAAGCTTTTGTTTGCTAAGAAGCTTGTCAAACTTCAATTTTAACCCAACGTGTCGTTGGACTTAAAATTTTTATTCAGTTTTTCACCACATTTTATGGGATTCATCACCCCTAAAAAGGCAACAAAAATGACAGAATAAATGAATTAAATGAATGGTTTCTCATCATTTGTACATTTCTCCAGGAATGTTTGAGAACTTCACAAAAATTGAGAAACTTGAGCTGCTATTATTATCAATCCAACTCCCTCCAGGTGTCTTTTTGACCCTTACCTGCATTCCGTTCCAAAATTTTGCAGCATCTTTCCATCGTCCGACTGCTTTGTACACATTCGCTAGAATTACGTAGCTCAAATGATAATTGGGTTTCAATTCCACCATCTTCTTAGGCAACAGGTTCTGCAACGGTAGGTCTTGTACTTATCGTACAAGCTCCAAGCAGAGCGGCCCAAAGAGATGAGTTGTTACTAAATTTGGAATTTTTAATCAAATCTTCAGCTCTTCAATCTCCCAAGCCCGGCCAAGGAGATCAACCATGCGACTATAATGCTCAATTCCAGCTTTAATCCCATAATCCGTACTCATTGAGATGAAGTACTCTCGCACTTGATCAACCAAACCATTGTGGCTGCAAGCAAAAAAGCACGCGTATGAAGCTTATACAATCCGGATTGACACCACCTTGAATCATTTCATTAAATATCATCATCGCTTCTTCACCTCTACCGTCCTGAGCAAATCCAGAAATCATTGAATTCCGTGTAATCTAATCTCTAAGAGGAGTCGACTTGAAAGTCCTATATGCAGAGTCCGCAAAGCTGCATTTTGCGTACAAATCAACTAAAGCTGATTCAACTACATCATCTTTCCAACCACCTCTCTTCAGATACTGGCAATGTACCTCCTTTCCAAGCTTCACAGCAGCCAAACCAGCACAGGCACATAGAACGGTCCATAACTGTAAATATCAACCTCCATATTTCTGGAAAAATGAACAGCGGTTTCAAACTCGCCCTTTTGACAGTATCCCCCGAGCAACGCACACCATGAAACTGAATTCTTCTTTATCCATTTGATGAAACACACTCCGCCACTCATTTAAGAACCCACATTTCGCATACATATTAACTAAACTACTCTCCACGAAAAATTTTATCCTTACAAAAACCACTTGTGAGAACCTTAGCATGTAGTTCAAAACCTTGCTTTAAGCTCCCTAAATTTCCTAAAGCAGTCAAAATACTACCAAATGTATACCCATCTGTTGAAAACCCGTAAAGCCTATGCATAAAATAGAAGAATTGCCAAGCCTGAACATATAAATCACTCCTCGCGAGTGCAGAAATCACTGAAGTTCAACAAATAAAGACTGGTTCGAGCAACGTCGAGCACCTTAATCAAAAAACCCGGCTCGTGATTCCTCCCATTCATATCAATCAATGCGCTGATAATCACATTGTTAAATCCAAAGCCAAATTTAATGATCACTGCGTGGGACATTTCCCCATGCTCAACTCCCTGAGCTCCGCAGACGCCCTGGTCACGGCAGATAAAGTGAACGCATTCGGCTCAATACCAAAATCAAGCATAATCAAAATACAGCAGAATCGAATTTCTGGGTTTTCCCACGCGAATGTATCCCGATAAAGGGGAAGAAGGCTGTTGTTGGTCGGTTTCTAGGCCAAATTTTGAGCACATAGCCAGTGAAGCTGGATGCCGAGCGTAAATGAATACGCTTTGTTGCATGCTTGAATAATGCTATGATTTGTTTTGAGGAATTGAGGTGATACTGTTTTGGGGTTGGTGGGAGATTGTGTTTATGGAATTGAGGAGGCCAATGGCATCAAAAACAAATCCTGATCTACAAAATTGAATAATTTGCGATGTTGTGGATTGCAGGTGTCGCGTGTGAGTGGAGAGGTGTGATGGAGTTTCGTGATGAGCTTCATGAATATTTAACGTACTGTAGTCTTTTTGAATTTTAACGGTTCTTTATATAGCGGGTAAATTACATATACGGTCATTGAACTTTTGACAAATATCATTTGGGTATTAAACTTCCATTTGCCTCAATTGGATCAGTAAACTTTAATTTAGTTTTAAATTTGATCACCTAACTTCAATTCACTTTCAAATTAAGTCACATGTTGTCTTTCAAATTGTTGAAAATTATTTAATTGACAATCTTGCAACAATAAATCTTTCTCGTAATCTCTGCACAGTATGTCAATTTGTCACACCACATCATAGCATATTTTAAACTCTGCTAATAATTAGACAAATAATTGACAAATCAAAATAAATACATATTTTAGAATATTTAAATTGATTAGATATTTTATATAGCTTGTTTTGATACCATACTCTTTTATTTTTATATTTAAATTCTTAACGTTTGAATTTTGTCACGATGGTTACTGAAGTTTGGATTATAAGGGTTCATTGGGTACACTGGGGTAGCCGTATCTCTACTAGTAAATGATGGTATGAATATTTCACTTATTTGGAGGAGAGTGTAGGGAGGAGAGGTACCAATCCTTAAACGACGTTGATCGTGAAAACAACAATTCTTAATGAATAGTACAAAAGCGAATTGGTGGTATGAATATTTCACTTGATTGAGGCTACAAAAAGTTTTAATGGATAAGCACCAAGGCAACTAGAGTAAAAAATAATGAAAATTTTCTAAATAGTCATTTTTCTTCAGCAAAAATAAAATTTGTCTCCCGTCAATATTATTAAATATGACTATTTGGTAATGCGAAAGTGCCAAAATGTCCTCTATGAAATCTTCTATGTAAAGATGAGAATAGAGTGTCCAAATGAACTATAAACTATTACATCATTGCCTAATTGGAATGTTTAGATCCTTAAATTTCATCCAGAAATGCAGAGAGGAAGTGTGTGGGCATGTGTAAATGGATTAGAAATTTCTAGTCAACATTGCTTAGTTTGACTAGAATTCTTAGATGAGTCAAAACTAGTGCCAAAAAAGCAGAGGGGAAAATCGGAAACACTTTTGTAACCTCTCTAATTATCATTGAATTTTTTCATGTTTCTTAATTGACATGGAATTTTAAACTCTTCAAATTATCGTTGAACTTACTGAAATATTATTTTATCTGTCGTTCCATCATTTTATCATTCATGTCATCTAATCCGTAAACTTTCAAAACGACAAATGACGAAAATACGGATGTGATAACATTTTAGTTAGTTCAATCACAACTCGAAGAGTTCAAATGGCCATTGAAAAATATTTTAAAAAGTTCGATGAGCAATTATAATATTTAACCTGCCATTAAACAACATTTTTAAAAGTACGATGCAATTCAAATATTTAACCTCCGAGTTGTTAGATTAAAGAAAGTTTGTATAGAATTGAATTACATCCTTCACAATCACAACAGACAATCTGCTTCTCCCTATTCTACGGGAGCAGGCTTGGCTAAAGCTTAAAATTAAGTTATACTTTTTTCAGAAAAGTTTTGTTTCTCAACACTTATAAATATATATAAAATTCATTTTTCAAAATAGTTACTTATTTTTTCCAGTAAAGAGGTAACTTTCAAAATAAGCCCCCATTTGATTTGACCGAAAACTATATTTTTAGTAAATTTTGAAAAAAGTGTCACTCAAAAGTTGATAATAATTATGAATCTTATAAAATGTGGTTGAAAACGAATTTGAGGAAATTTTTAAAAACTGAGGCCAAAGTCCGAACGGAGGCTAAATAACATGTCCTCAACTTTTACCAACAAAAAATATTTATTCTACAACTCATTTATTTACTTATAATTTATTTTATAAGCGTAGCAAAACATGCTTGAACTGGCATTTTAACAACTATGGACTTCCTCATAAAAAAAAATTACCAAGATCTCTTTGGAAGGTAAAGATGCCAGTTAACCAGAATTAACAAGACTTCAACCAAAAATGAAAGAATTAACATCTTATAGATGAAATGAAAATTCAATTTGAAGAAAAATATGCAAAAGCTCAACTGACATGAGCTCAGATTTCAATAATTAATGATAGCAAGGGGAGGTTGCAATAAATTAGTATAGAAAAGCATTAACTGGATGGCCGGCTTAAGCCTTAGCATTCTTTGTGAAGTCTGAGCAGGTCTGGCAGGTGCAGTCTGAGAAACGGCAAATTTCACATCCGAAACACACACAGGTAGTACATCCTTTGCATGTTGGAGAGCGGCTGCAGCCCATGTACACTCTGCGGCTTGCTCGTTCTTCATCATCATCACACGTAATTCTGATACATAAAAATGTATCAGTCAATTGCAATATATCTTATATTGGCCAAGAGAGATTAAGTTTTAGGAGATAAAAGTCAAGGATAGACTGGCCACTCCTTGATTTTCACATGCTGATTACTTTGGATTTGCTTAAACCAAGTCGTAGAGGTCTGAAGTAATCATCCCCACTTACAAACGTATTTGATCGAACTTTTCCCAGCATTTTTTATGAAGCCCAAAAACAACATAATACAATTGTATCTCCATCAAACTTCTAACCTCCAAATTCTCGTGTTCCAGCTATATGAAGAAATTAAGGAAATGCAATAAAGGAAAGATCATCTAGCAATGACATCAAACTTCTAATCAACGATTTCTCTCTTTTCCATCTACAAGAATAAAAAAACATGGGAAAAGAAAATACTCTCCGACAGGGGGCGGATCCAGCACCCAGCGAGCCAACGCGGTCGCCCTTGCTGGATCCGCCGAAAAAGAAAGGATTATAAAACTTTGACGAATGACGTTAAATATTTATAAATGTAACAAAGCGCTAATTTTGCATAGAAAAGGCTCATGGTTCAATTCTGGGAACCTACAATCCTCGTTTAAAATTTTTAGCTACAAAATTGGCTGAAAACAAAATTTTATACCTCATTTGCAATGAATAAGATTCGAACCTATACTCGCTATATGATAATGAAAAGCTTAACATCTATGGCAATTAAAGGCTGTTAACAATAAATTTAATGAGAAAATATATATTCGGTTTTATCAAAGTAATAGACTCTTTGCTTTAAAAATTATTATTTTTAACTAAAATTCGACATTGCAATGACTCAGTGGTTGAACCGCTGACCGGAATAATTTGTCCAATTAACAATCGGGTCACGTATTATGAATTTAGGGTGTGTTTGAGCCACATTATTTTGGAAAAATGTATTTTGGAATAATAGATTGATGGAGAATGTATTATTAAAAATAAGAAAAAGTTTTGGATGTATTAGAAAATATTATTTTATTGAAGAATGTGTGGTTGAAAATGAGTTTTGAAAGAATGAGATTTTGTAAAATGTGGATCAAACAAGGGCTTATTCTGTAAAATTTAAATTTGGACAATCTAAGTAGTGCTCTTTATTCTTTTAAGAGTTCAAAAAACATTTTTTTTTTTTCAAAATAGTTCTAAAAATCATTGTTATAAAATATTTGCATAAGTTTCACCTAAGTTTAGAACCTGTATTTACCATTTAATCATGATTTACGTATGAGCTTTATCTTGTCTCGCTTAAGTTCGTAAAACCTTGAAGCTTGATCATACATATATGATTCAAAAAATATATTTTTTTTCTTGTTATTCTGGATTGTATTGGATAATATTTTCATGCATATGACTTTTACGTTTATATTGATTGAATTTTTTTAAAGTATTATTTAATTAAATATTAATAAATAATCTTACTATTGCGATCGTAAACTGACGAACCGTCCTAGCTCACTCGACTTCCTAGATCCGCCCCTGCTCTCTGATGTAGGAGAATCCTTTTTGGAATATGATTTTTTGTTGTAATAAGATTTTATCAATGTTCCTTCTTGTTTTAGGGAATCAATACCGTTGTAGCACCAAAATTGGTATCAGAACAAGGTTTTACCCTTGTTGGATGGCCACTTATGATAGTAATGGAATGCACATGCATCCTCGCGATAACGTTCGGAGGATAGCAAAATTATCAACCTCGGTCTAGAATCCGGAACGAAAGACGGATAGGTTCATAATGTTGCTAACAAAAATTTGCAAACTTTAACTGCTATAAATGTTAATCGATCCAACAAGCCCAGGATACGACAACAATTGCCTAGAGATTTTTCTCGAGTTCCAACTAGGCTCGAATCCTCACAACGTGATGGTAGAAGTTTTGAAATATTTTCTTCTTGATTGATTGCTTTTCTCTTCTTCAACCAAACTCGAGGATGATTGTTTCAAGTGGAGAAGAAATGTCGGAAAATTCTACTAAATATCAATTAGTAGCATTAGTTTAGGATTTAATTATTATTAGTGAGTAGGATTCCTAGTATTTATAGTATTGTATATTGTATTAGTTTTGTTAGTTAATTGATAGCGTTTCTACTTCTATTAGGGGTAAGTTATTAGTTTTCTTGTTCTTCTCAGTTTCTTTTACTTTGTAAGTATAAAAAAATTGGCCATACCCACGAGCATCTAGAGCATCCCAAATTGCTGAATGCGTTCAAGAATCTACTAAGCTAATCATATGCATTGAGCTGAGGAGGATAATTTTATCATTGAGATGAAGTATTAGACTTACATAAAATGAAGAATAAACGCTAAACCCTAATCTTTTATAATATATTCTTCATTTCATTGCATATCAAAATATCTGTACTACTAGGAGCTGAGGAAACCAAAACTTATAATTTCTCTGGAAGAAAGAAGCATTTCAATGACTCTACACCAAGTCAACTGTAGCACATTCATTTCAGGTCAGTTTGGCAGTTAAGTATTATAAAAGATTAGCAAGGAAAAACATTCCATGAGTTTAAGAGGCAAGGCTACAATTGAAAATAAAGTGTACTTGGCCCACCGGATGGTAGCTTATCATGAGGCGACGACTTATTTGTCGTGCATAATTAACACCAAGGGCTGTATATTTTTCCAGGGAATTTTTCTAAGCGTCTGTTTGATTGGTTTAAATTCCATAGAAAATGTCACATTCGAGGAATTCAATTTCTACTTTCAGTGTTTGATATGAAAGTACAACTACTTTAAACTTGTTTTTTTGCCAATTTTATGGAAAATGTATTCCTATGTGGTACTTGAGTTTTTATTTTCCAACTTACATGGAATTGGAAAACTTTTCACCTTTGCTAATCAAACGGACCCTAAGTTCCTTTGATTGGCTCTGTCGTAAAGGAAGATTATCAAAACTCACCCGCTACAAGTTAGTCATCCAATTGTAGCATGCTCATTTCATCTTTTTTTCTCTTGCAACCAAAAATGAGTTTTAAGAGAATTGAGAACTGTACTTTCTGGTGATAGAAAGTAGAGTGAAAATAGCATTTTAAATGACAAATTTTCTTTATTAACACAGTACAGTGGTCAGTACGAGGCAACATAAGGGAAAGAGATAAAACACCTGAAATTGAAGTGTTCTGAGTATGTTATCCCGTATAAGAAGTTCAAGAATAAGGTCAGTAAGTACATACTTGTCATAGGGTATATCTGAGCACTTCCAATTCTCATTCAACAAAATGTCATGGTAAATCCGGCATTCCTCCTTGGAGCGGAGACGGAACCTGCGCAATTTGTTGCACTGACTGCATCGAATGAGCTCATCACGGTGACAGGGTTTCCCAGTTTGGGACCGGTGAGATCCATTGGCATTTTTCAATGCTTTATTGTAATATTTGAGCAGTGCAGTTTTAAATATAGGAACTTTCTCACCATCAACAATAACCCAAATATTGTTCTTCCATTTCCTGGCAGTTTCTCGTCCAGAATGCTTCTCAAATGCAGCAGGTGTCAATTTGTCTAGCAGTAAACAATGGAACTCAAACCTCAGAGAAGTAACCCATCAAGTGAAGAAAAAAGAATTACGTAGCAAAATACAAAAAATTGAGATGCATGTGTCTGTAGCAGTACAACAATTATATGCAAATCCATAAAGAATACTGTTGTTTTTCTTGAGCATTTTTTAGATGCAACATCAACAAACACACAAGATAGACACTGGAACTTGCAGAATGGACTGACTTAAGTCTGAGCTTCTAATTTCTAGATTTACCAGCCCATTAAAAAAATCAGATGGCACTTTGTCCAAACAAAATACACATGTTTATTAACACATATTGAGGCATTACATGTATACATGATTTGAAGGATAACAATAACAGAAGTTTGAGAACATTTAACAACTGTGTTTGCTCATTGCTATCCTACGAAGAATGAGGAGTCAATTGGAAAGACTTGTACCGTGTAGCTTTCTGCACAAACATGCCTTAACTTCTAGGTGAGTCATAATCACATCCCCAGGCAAAGTTATAGCATTTCTCTATCTTGTCTCAATAATCCATTGTTTTGATTCCATAGGTAGGTCTAAGTGAAGCTTATTACCTATTCTATTTTGCCAAGGGATAGCACACAAGCATAGTTCCAGAACAAGTATTCAGTTAGCCTACATGTCAAAAGATGGACATTCATCAAGAAAAGTAACTCCCAACCAATGAACCATATGGCAAGTAACTAGATATTCAAATATATTGGCACCCAAAAACGTTCATGAAGAAAATATTATAATCTGCAAAAAGATACACAACCTAACTTCAAAAACATACCCATGCTTCCTCATCTAACTACTCGTATGAGATTGGAATAAACATCAACACATAAGCAGGCCTTATCCTTGACACAAACAATTACTAGATAAATGGCATAGCTCTTATCCAAGTTCCAACAACACATTTATGTCCTAACACTACAAAAAAACAAGGCAAAAGTATTTCATAAACAAAACTGATTAAAAAAAAGCCCATTGAGCTCCATAAATGATGAAATTAAGATTTCTGACTTCTGCAAACAGTGTAACAGAACTCTGCATCAAGCATACACGAACTACAAAATCATAACTGCAAGCAAAGTATAATGCAGAAAACTTTCTCTCCTGCACATGCTTCACAGATTCATTCAAATCCAAAAGATGCACCATTTTAATGGAAAACCACAATACAAAGCAAGAACCTTGTAAAAAAGGTCCGAACTACATAAACAAGGTTTCAGGCTAAGATAACAATGACATATCAATTCACTTAGACAAATCAACATACACTTAACCTGTACAAACCTCCAATGTCTAAATGAGCACAAACAGACCCATTAACCGCATCATTTCATGTTTAAACACAAGCCCATTATACAATCTTCAAACACAGAATAGGTATATCATGCATCCAAGCAGAATAGCCTTAGGCCAAACGACATTGCACATGATGATTATGCATCTGCTTTCGTGTTTATATGCGCGTACACAAATAGACTCGAATGGATAAATGATGCGTAAACGAATATTCGAAAACCTTCTTGGCAACCAGGAGTGCATTCACAGTGGATTTCAAGATCACCCGAAACGAAAACCCTAAGCGTTCCAACAGCATCTCCATATGTATGGCTGGTGCACCCACACGTCACCTCCACGTAATCATCGCACCGCTTGAATCCGGTCATATCTCTTACCTCGTCATCGCTGAAAAACATGGCACAACCGTTCTCCATATTCTTTCTCTTTCTCACTTCGCTCATTCTCTCTCCCTCAAACGCCCTCTGTCAAAGCCAAGAACAAAAAATAACACAAACCCACATCACAAAAATGCTACGAAAAAACAAAAACAGTCGAATAAAACAAAATAATTTTCGGCCGCTTCAATGCCTTTTCTCATGTGTGCGTGTTTATATACATAAAGATTTTATAACCTATACACACATATATATATAGACACTGAAGCAATGTATAGAGGGGTAGAGATGGACGGCCCAGAAGAAGGGTTGGGGTAATTGGCTTAGCGAGCACGCACCTGCCTGCAAAGAGGAGATCTGATAAAGAGAGTTAAAAAGGAGGAAATAATGAAGTGGGTTTCTTATAGCGTCTGCGTGAGAGGTAGATAGAGTATTCGTTTGGGCTTTTGTTCAAGGGGAACAGATTGAGCTGGCGAAAGCTTACAAACAAATATCATCAATTGAAAAGGCGTGTGTATGTAATTTCGAGGACTGAGTCCACCAGATAGAAAGTAGACGATGTTTTTCAAGACTGTACTTTGCAAAAATTTTGACACTAATATTGCTTCATTTGGGAAGGGGTTTCTTTAAACACTTTCCATGGATGCTTTTTTCTAGTGCTTTACTCAATTGTACTACTAGTGAGTGAAATCTGAGTTAAGTCAAACTGGTAGAAGAAAAATATATTTCGACTTTATAAGGAAAATTTTGGTAGTGTTTGGGTCCGCCCTAGGGGGAGGTAAATCGATCGAGCCGCTTGCCAGACTCCTAGACCTGACTCGATTCATGGACCGCTCGAACTCGTGTTGAGACGGGTCACGTATCGAACCAAATTCTTCTTTTTTATGAGTCAAGTGTGCTCGGCTCATTTTTTGACTAGTTTTTGGCTTATTTTCCTAATTCGTTAAGAAAATAAAGTCGACTCTACCCATTTTCTTCCCTAATTAGCCCACGAGATTGTCACGCTATAGGGACAAGATCCAACGTGTTCGGCTGCACGATGCATTCACCATATACCTCTGCCATAGACATGTTCAACTAGTATATGATGATTGACTTTATCACAAAGATGATAATGCATTGCAGCATAGCTGCATAGGTGAGTATGCTGGATTGTCTAGGGTAAAAAATGGCACAATTCATTTATGTCACAGCTCAACTTGCCTCTGATATGACTATTCTTTTGGTCGAGTTGGGATTTGTTGTCATAGATTAATTAAATGTTTGACATCCAAGCACATCAATTGTTGTTAGTAAATGAAAAATGAGAATACGTCACTTTAAAGATAATGTAATTTGTAGCGGATTGTTTCGTGTAGGTATCTTTCTATTTGTTAACAAGAATTTACGTCTAAATATTCACATTTATTGGAGAACATCAAATCTCAACTCCAGTCGACCTTTAGTGTATCTACAGTCTTGTGATGGGCCAACCACATACAAAATTAAAAATTGTGTCAATATTTACTGCACCTCCATTTCATTTTTTATTAATATAAATCTCTAAATTTTATTGCAGTCTCCATTTTATTATTTGAATTTGATTATTTACTAATTTTTATAATTAAATTTATTGTATAATTTAACAAAAAGATAAAAAGCTGGTATTAGGGGCGGAGCCGGCGAACAAAAATAAAATTTTATATGAGCTAATAAATACATTAAAAAAATCCTTAAAAAAATTAATTGGAACTAGGCCAGGCTTGGGCCCACCCCCCGGATCATGTTATCCATAGTAGCTCAACCAATAAAGTAGTCGGATTATTATCCAACAAGCGTTCTGCTACATGACGTGCTATGTGACGGCCACGGGCTATGACATGGCACGTGTGTTGTTCTCAAATTATATGTTTTCATATTTATCTATTTACTTAAGTTTGAAGATATCAAGATGTTATCCGCATATTAGTTTCATTCATTGATGTTTCAAAGAATTCAAATTTATAAATAAAATTCATTATCTACACAAAATTCACTCAACCATTTCAGAATCATGCAAGTTTATTTATTAACAATCATATCTATTGAATAAAAATTCACAGGTTCACGTTCAATACATTTTTGATGCATCAATATCTATATTCGAAAGTCTATTTTTTAAGGCTAAAACATTTCAGAGTCCAACTCCGTTTCATTATTATATCAATGAAGTGTCAATGCACGTTCATTCTTATGGCCTACATAGACCCCAATACATTTTTTACAATCAGTGCATCGTCCATGGTTAGCAAATGGAAAGATATCAAAGTGTACCCCTTCGGGGGTGGCCGAGTTGGTGGAGCAGGTGAACGCGGAGACCAAATGTCGCGAGTTTGAATCCCATGCCAACACTTCCTCTGTCGAGCCCGTCGCACCGGACTTGACTAGTACGGTNTATATATACAGAAATGATCTAATGAGCACCGGTGCTCATCTTATCCTAAACACCAATGAGTTGGCACATTAATTCATTGGTGGATTGGAACTCACAAAATCTTTATCCACCAATGAATTAATGTGCCAACTCATCGGTGCTTAGGATAAGATGAGCACCGGTGCTCATTAGATCATTTCTGTATATATATATATATCAAAGTGTAGTGAATCGAGGTGTAAAAAAACGTTATTGACATATTTTATTTGTTAAGAAAAGTTATATGTTGATGTATCAAAACTATATTGAAAGATAACAAATCTCAACTATAAGAACTTCACAATCGAAGCAATCTAAAAATTAGAATATTGATATGAAAGTTTGAACTTTCCAACATGGAGCATATCGAATTTATAGATAAAAATGAAAGGAAAGTTTAGTGCTATAGTTGGTCTACCTACTTTTAAGAAAGCTACACAAATGTTGGCAATCAAAGAGAGAGATTTTAAATTGGAGAGGGAAATAAGGAAAAAATAAATAAAGGGAACGAAAACAAGCGATGAATAAAAAGAGAACGTTCTTATCATTAAGAGTATCTTCATCATCACACTTCAAACAGAATTCAAAAGTACGAATTTATGAGATCGAAACTCATATTTTTAATCGATAATCATCACCATCTAATTCATAGGAAAAAATTCTCAATAAGAAATTCCACGGATGGGAAGTTTTTTAAAAGTGTGAAGTCTTGAATTATTTCTTGAATTCACTATTTATTCAATGTAGATGTATGAAAAATCGTTTTATAAGGTCAAATATGGGAGTTTTGATATTTGACAATCCATGAAAATAAATGAAATAAAAATAAAGGGATCTAATAGTAAATATCACACAAATTTGCGGCACATTTTTTTTTTATTATTGTTATAAATTCACATAATTTGGATACATAAGAAAATGACAATTTGTGAGATATTTAGTCAAATCTGAAATATTTAACCAATGGATATACATGAATACAACTCTATAGTCTACTTGCCATTTTATTGAAACACATTACATATACCTACTACCCTATGTATTATACTTTACATATATTTGCTTGTTCATTGAAGTAAATTGTACGTCACCAAAAAAACATATTAAGAAAGCTAAAAAAGTAATTTATTGTCTATTGATAATTCAAAAATTGGTAGATCCTTATAGTATTCTGAGTGAGTCAGATACCCTGTTAAATATGTTTAATTCTTTTCTTCAAGCAGAGTTAATTTTCACAATATGGCTAGTAGGAAGAATCACCCCCTCGACCCGTACATCAACATATACACATCACATCAAATTTGGGATCGACGTCGAATTATTTTTAGGCTCGAGGTCGAAAAGTATATCACAAGGGAGTCAATTCGTCAAGCAAAGAGTTCATCTCCTAAGTTGCACCATTCCTTTATCGCACGATAATGTTAAATCTCATCGCAAAAACCTAATCAACATTATCTATTGTGCTGTTTAATCTATTTCATTGTTTACCAAACATGTCCCATGGGTTTTCAAATAGTTGATTGCTATTAAAAATTAACTTATATTATATAACTCATGACTAATATAATTTAAGTTTTATCGAAAAGTTAATTCAAATTCAAAAAATATTTTATCAAACTCATATTAATTAAATTTAGCCCATTTTAAGTAGTTATAAATATGTTTGTAAATTAACACACAGCCATGAGTCTAGACATCGGTAAATGCTTGTAGTTCATGAATTAGTATATATTATTTTCTTTATATTTTTCTGGTCTTTTCAATACATAGGAATGGGAGGCATCTGAGCCTGGATTCTGAATTTGAACATGGAAGCCATTAAACTGCGGGTAAAAACATATGGGGTCCGTTTGATTGTAAGAGTGGAATTTTGATGGAAATAAAATGAATTTCAGGAAATTGAATTATCTAAAATTATTTTCCTGGAAATTGTCAATTAATTGTGTTTAATTGGTATAATTTTCTACGTGAAAATTATTTAAATTTTGAATTTTTTGGTGTTCATTTGACTTTGTTTTTTATGGAAATTATCCATTAAAGGAATTTGTGTACATTGCCAAAAAAAAAAAAAAAAAAAAAAACCTGGGAAATATTTACCCACCAAAACATCAAAAATTTATTTTCCTAAAAAATGTGGAAAATTTGGAAAGTTGGAAAATATTTTCCCAGGAAAATTTTGCCTATCAAACACTAAAAAAGTTTCATGGAAAATGAGTGCTATCAAACGGGGCCTAACTACATTTTCGCATATAGCTGTGAGGAAAGAAACAATGGGAAACATGTCTTATTTCCTTTTTTTTTTTTTTTAAACTTTTAAGCAGATTTCAATTGTTAAAACTTCCAAATACTAGTGTATCTTTTGCCTCCTATCACTTTTCATTTTCCCCTAATTCTAAGCAATGAAAGATAAATTCAGTAAGCTCGAGGTATTTAAGGGCAAAGTAATGGTACTTGCAAGCCTCTATACTTTCTACAACTTCGCCTAATACTATTTCCTTGCACTCCGTGCCTTTCTTACCTTAGACCATCCTTTCTTTAATTGAATATAATATATTGAGTACTTGAATATAATTTAAGTTTTATCGAAAAGTTAATTCAAATTCAATAAATATTTTATCAAACTCTTATCAATTAACTTTAGCCCATTTTAATTTTTAAGTAGTTAGAAATATATTTGTAAATTAACACACAACCATGAGTCTAGACATTGGTAAATGCTTCTAGTTCATGAATTAGTATATATTATTTTCTTTATATTTTTCTGGTCTTTTCAATACAAAGGAATGGGAGGCATCTGAGCCTGGATTCTGAATTTGAACATGGAGGCCATTAAACTGAGGGTAAAAACACATGGGGTCCGTTTGATTGTAAGAGTGGAATTTTAATGGAAATAAAATGAATTTCAGGAAATTGAATAATCTAGAATTATTTTCCTGGAAATTGTCAATTAATTGTGTTTGATTGGTATAATTTTCTACGTGGAAATTATTTAAATTTTGAATTTTTTGGTGTTCATTTGACTTTATTTTTTATGAAAATTATCCATTAAAGGAATTTGTGTACATTGCCAAAAAAAAAAAACATGGAAACCATTTTCCCACCATTTCCTTCAATTGGTGCACGTGTGGGGGTGGGTGGAATTAGTTTTCCATGGCAAACAAAACCCATCAAACAATCATTTCCACGGAAAATGGAAATTCCATTTTCCATGGAAAAAAATGGTTATCAAACATAGCCTTGGTTGAAGTCATCTAACTTTGAGTGAAATTTGATTTTAGTCGCTCAATTTTGCTATGTTGCCTGAATAACGATGTACATTCACGTTTTTAACCACCATAATCGTGATACTGAAACAATGTCGAATGTCTATATTCTTTTTAAATCGAAGTGATCAAAATCTAGACACAAGCTTTTATGTTCCTTCCCAACCTTAGTTGGGGGAATTTGGTATTATCCCCTATTCATAGATTAATAATTCAATATATAGTTTAAAGTGGACATTGGCCCTACCCTGCTACCCCAATAGTAGAAATTAGAGATTTTGGATGAACATAAATCAAGAGGTATTATATTTACAAGGGTAAACTCTTAGCGGTGAAATATCATTTAGGTTACTTCCAATTTTCTCAATTGTGTTACTAAAATTCGATTTTTATTGCCAATTTCACCATCCATCATATGTTTTCCAAATTGATTAAAGGTTTGTTTAATTGATCGTCATTTCAAAATGAATCTTCTGCGTAATCATTGCGTGACATACGAACTAACCACTACGCGACTTCATAAGAGTCTTAACACGTATTTTAACCGAATCTTTATTTTTACCATTTCTGTTTCTAGAGTGCCACATAGCGATTACGATGAAGATCCATTACGATATAACTATCATTTAAGTAATTTTTATTCAATTTAGGGAACAATAAGCCTCCCTTTGAGGCACATTATATTTTTCATTCTCTTTCTTCTATTCATTTTCAATCAAATATTCTTCAATAAAATAATATTTTCCATCACATCAATAACTTTTCCTTCTTTTTCAACTACATATTTTCCATCACATCAACAAAAAGAAAACGCACTCTCTCCACAAAAATGTCTATCAAACATAGGCTTAGTGACCAAAAAAAAAAAATGATAGAATGATAAAATTTGAAATTTAATTGACATTCAACAATTCAACTGAGATAAATTGAAGTAGTAACTTAATTGAGTTTTCACTTAGGCCTTGTTTGATAGGGTGACAATTCAGTGGAATTTTTTTTCATTTTCCCACTTTTTGATTGTTTGATTTGATTTTCTTCTTGGCAATTGGAATTCCTACTTCCTCCCACACGATCACAAATTCTTGGTTTTCCAGGTATTTTATTTATTTATTTATTTTGCAATGGAAACAAATTTTAAGTGGAATTGTAACAAATTTTATTTCTTTAAAGGACAATTTTCATGAAAAATAAAGTTAAATGAACACCAAAATAACCAAATTTTCAATATTTTTCAGATGAAAAATTATACCAATCAAACACAGCTAATTGACAATTCTTTAAATAACAAGTTCTAGGCAATTCAATTCCCTAACATTCATTTTCTTTCCATCCAAATTCTACTCTTTTAATTAAACGGACCCTTAAAGTTGATTGACTGCCAATGAAATTTATCCAATTACAAACAAAAGTCTCCAAAACAGATGTCAATTGTGCATATGTAAACCCGAGTTTTACAAATTAAAGATACGTGATTAACGTTCATTTGAGAAAATCTGTCTCCCACGGCGGAAAGAATATTAATCTGGGAATCCTCTAATGTTTTTCAGGTTTAAACTGAAACAATGGTCAAATTTGAAGAAGGAAAAAGAAAATAAAAATGAAAAAGAACGTTCGCCCGCTTCTATAAGCAAAGTTATCCTCATTTCTGTCAAATTATCACACTTAATCATCTATAAATATCATTACTCTAAATATTAACATCAATACTTAATTGCAAACCCACAAATTAAGCAATCCTGTGCGGTCCCCCTCTTTCTTACCCTCTCTCGTCTGAACCCAGCAGATTTTATACTCTTTCCTTTTTGAATCTTGCAACAGCACTAGTTTTTCTCCACCTTCTTATGTTTAACTGTTTAAAAGCCTCTCTTTTTTTTTTTCCCTCCAAACTTCGCACTATAAATGTTGAGAAAGTGAGCTTTTTGGAGATGCAAATCTGATTTTCTTGAATTGGCTCTGTCTTGATAAAAACCCATTTGCTGTAGTCTTGATTTAAGTTTTTTTTTTTCCCTCTTTCTCTAAAACTCTTTAATTCTTGGGTTTATGTGTGTTGTGGATCTGAAGAAAGTGGAAGCTGCACATATATTCATTGCATGTGGAAAATTCAACTCATAGGTTCGATTTTTATTTACTCTTCATACTTCGCTTTAGTCAAACTTTCAACTTGTACATTATTTCCGTTCCATTCTTTTCGGATTTACCCTTTTTGTATATCTAGCTCTTCGGAAAACTGAGAAAAAAGACTCAAAATAAAAATAAAGTTGGTGTCTTTTTTGCGGGGGAAATTTTTGGGCACTTATGATTTTGTTCTGTTACAAAATCTTGTACTTTTATTTATTTATTTATTTATCACTCAGTAAATCTCCGTAGTTTTTCTTGGGCCTCATTTTTCGATAAGATCGAGGTTATCATTTGAGGACTGGCGCTTTAGTTTGCTCATTTCAAAAAATTGAGGTATTCTGATAGTTGGCGACAACTGCTGAGTATGAGGAAAAATGCTAATTATCATTCAGGAAGGGTATTCAGTGACAGAAGGTGGAAAATTCCATTCTTTGTGAGTTTGCTTGTGTCAATTACTCTATTTACTGCTACCATTTTTGGGTTATACTCTGCGTCTTATGGAAGAGATCAATTGCAAGTAGACATTGTTACGTTTGAAAATTCTGAGGACTCGGATGGGTACTTTGTGGAATCGGATTTAATGAAGTCTTTTAAATCAAGTAAGGCCTCAGAAATAGAACCACCGAGATTTGCTTATCTCATTTCGGGTACAAAGGGCGATAGTCAGAGGATGATGAGAACATTGCAAGCGGTGTATCATCCGAGAAATCAGTATATTCTGCACATGGATCTCGAGGCCCCCCCACGGGAGAGGTTAAATTTGGCCATGTCAGTGAAGAATGATCCAACATTTGGTGAGGTGGAAAATGTGCGTGTTATGTCACAATCCAATTTGGTGACATACAAAGGTCCTACTATGATTGCTTGTACCCTTCAAGCCATAGCGATTTTGTTGAAGGAGAACTCGAATTGGGACTGGTTTATAAACCTAAGTGCTTCCGATTATCCTCTTATGACTCAAGATGGTCAGTTGACTACACATTACTCTACTCAATTATTTGAAGTGGCGTTTATTATTATGTTCTATTGTTGATATCGTATATGTTTACTTACTGTGAAAGAGGTCCCTCTCATCTTTCCTATCCTGTCATTGAAAATGAAAGTGAAAATGATGAAATATTCACATGGCATGTTGCTGCACAAGTGCAACACGATAAAGGATTGCGTTTTAAACCATTTATAGGATTAGCATTATTCCGATGTCATGATGGGTATTGGCAAATAATTAATTGATAGTATACAGAGGCAAGGATGAGATAGTAGTAAAGAATATAAACTTTTGATTTTTAAATTCTGCCATTTTCAGGACTGGTGTTGTAGTAATGATATTTACTTTGAGAAGTTTCTTATTTTAAATGAACGCTTGGATTTTAGCTGTTGACTGAAGTAATTATGTATAAGTGAGTCATAGTCTTATGCCTGAATAATGTTGGGAACTTGAGCGAGGATGTGCTTGGAAGAGTGAGATTCTTTCACTGCTCTGTTCCACAGTTGCTTAGTGCTTGTTTGGTAAAAATTAAAATCCAATTAAAATTGAAAATATAGCCGTTATTGGGTCTCATTCGTCTAATAAAAGTTAACAATAACAGCTAGTTTTCAATTTTAATCCAATTTTAATATCTACCGAACACACCCTTAATGTGTTAAATTTTAAAATCATTTATTGGTTTTTGAATTGTCAAAATTGGGGCGAATCAAGAAGTTATTTATTTTTATAAATGATAACCCTATTCTCCACATGTTTGATCAAAATATACTCATGATCATCTATCATTTGATATATGTCTTGACGGTTGGTAAACTAGAAATTTTCCAGGATGGAGATTACTGTTATCAATTCTTTTCTCTCTGTCCTGTTACTTGGGGGAATGTTGACTGAATCTAAGGATGTTTAGATTTTATAAATGAGTGTGCTTGTATGAAAACTAATTTTCCTGGAAATAGCTCTGTAAAAACTTTGTTCAATTTTCTCCTGTCCTTTCTTGAGTTTTTTTAGCCCTTGTTTGGTTTGGATAAAAATTAGTTTTTTAAGTAGATTTTGATAAAAGTTGGTAAGATGTGTGGTTGAAAAGTTGTGGGTCTCATAAAATATGTGGTTGAAAATGAGTTTGGGAAAAAATAAGTTTTAAGAAATGGGGTGCCAGATAGGTGTTTATTATTTTTTGGGTGCAGGGGGGGTGGGGGACTGGAACTGATTAATTTTGAGTATCTTTAGCATGTAAACACTGAAGAGAGTTATTCTCTCTAAAACTTCACATTGCCGCAATTAGATGACCTGTGGAAAATGAATTTTAGCCGTAACACATTCTCTGTGATGTCTCATGTGACATTCTTTCTAGATCAGGTGCCTGTCACATTAGTTGATAAATTCAAATCCAACTAGATAATAGAATCCTACAATTATATAATCCAGAACAACAAAACTGATACTTTCCGCTGATGATCTCAGATTCTCAATCTTATGTGAACGGACAGAATTGTGAATATTTGATCTTCTTGGTCTTCTTTGTCCTTACAATATAACTTCCATTCATATTTGGAATCTATATATTGATTATAGTTATCTATCTATCTATTTTTTGTAAGAATTGCTACTGTGGGAAATAAGAAATTAAGAATGCAATGGTTTGATCATTGATATTCTTATAAAGAGCTTGTTATCTATATTTTCGTTGGTCAAACATTTTTGAATGTATTTCATGCCCTGGTAAATTAATGTAATTATATCTTGTATTTTATAGAAATTTATGATGCTTTGATCTATTCTTTGGATCCAATCCTAGGATGGCCCTTGTAATGATCCTACGAAAAATCCAGATTATTGCAGACTCACTTTCTGCATTGTGAGTCAGTAACTAATCTGAAGGAAATCTTCGCTAAACTTTATTGACAGTAGAGCGTTGAAATAAATTTTGATAGTTTAACTGTTACTTGTAAAAAGAAAAGAATAATGCTTTCTTGATGTCTATACTTCTTTCTATGACGATCTAACTCATTGTGCAGATATGTTATACGTCTTCTCCAATTTGTCTCGAAATCTCAATTTCATTGAGCACACACAGATTTATGGGTGGAAACTGTAAGTACCTGTATACAATGAAAAACGAGCAATAGTGCTTTGATTCAATGTAAAAATGTTTAACAGTTTTTTACTATGCTGATGTTTCCAGGAACCAGAGAGCAAAGCCTATCATAGTTGATCCAGGCCTCTACTTGTCTAAAAAATCTGAAATTGCATGGACTTCTCAACGTCGCTCAATTCCAACATCTTTTAAGTTGTTTACTGGTGAGTTTCTTATCCTAGATAACCTGAGGTTTAGTCGTGGAGTAAAGAAATGCATTTAGTGTATGTCTGACAGTCTATTAAAAAATAATTTTTAACTTCCTTTTCTTCCCATTATAGATAATTTTCATAATGGGCAGCTAGTAAAGGGACTTGATAAACACCTGAAATAGATTATTATACTGCACACTGATTGCAAGTGATAGTCTTATTCTTTTCTTTAACTGCAGGCTCGGCATGGGTGATTCTAACTCGCTCTTTTGTCGAATACTGCATATGGGGGTGGGATAACCTTCCCCGAACAATCCTCTTGTATTATACAAATTTCATCTCGTCCCCAGAAGGATATTTTCACACGGTTATTTGCAATACTGAAGAGTTCCGTAACACTGCAATAGGTCATGATCTCCACTACATTGCTTGGGACAGTCCTCCTAAGCAGCATCCACGTTCATTAACAATCAAGGATTTCAATAAAATGGTAAACAGCAGTGCCTCCTTTGCTCGGAAATTTCACAAGGATGATCCACTTTTAGACAAGATCGATAAAGAGTTGCTTGGTCGAACAAATCGTTTTGCACCTGGGGCATGGTGTGTTGGGAGCTCGGAAGATGGGACTGATCCTTGCTTCTTGCGAGGTAAGGATTCCGTGTTTAAGCCTGGTCCTGGTGCTGAGAGGTTACAAAAGCTAATTGCGAATCTGCTATCTGAAGATTTTCGTAGTAAGCAGTGCCATACACAGTGAGGATAAAAATTGAACCTTCCTTTCAATCAAGATGATTAAAACTTCCAGCTTAACATAGCTATAAAGGTAATGGGCTTTTTGAGAAGCTGTTTGCAATTTTTTGCAGCAAGTGGTGTTCTCTCACAGGGGATAGTTTGGATATGTCAACTGTAAACTGTAAATTACTTCATTAATAGAATGCAGCATCGTTATAAAAATTTCAGAATTTTTTTTTCCCTTTCAAGAAATGAATTCTGTATCTACTATCCACTCATCAATTCGTATCATATTAAGAGCATGCGTGGATGTTCAGTCTAGCACTGTCTATAAAGTACACATACCCTGATAGGATGGCACTGTGCACATGTGCTTGAACCTACATGAGCTAGATGCTGGTCGACCCAGTGCCATATGCAGAGTGAATTGCCTATTTATTCACTGAACTTTCAGTCATGCACGCAATTGGTCACTGAACTTTCAAAATAACGCAACGAGTCACTGAATTTTGCAATTCACCATCCCAGAAGTCATTGAGCAAATGGCCGTTGATAAATTGGACGGAATTTCCACGTGGCAGTTGACGTGGCGAGACAACTCAATGAATTTTGAAAGTTTAGTGACTCCTTGCGTGCATGACTGAAAGTTCAGTGACTAAATAGGCAATTCACTCCCGCTTGACCTCCATTGTTCTCCATTAAATTATAATTCTTTTTTTTATCAAATACACATTCTCCAATAACATAAGATTACACGTGAATAAAAAAATCATTCTTTTTTAACATGTGTATTTTGAATAAAATGAAGCTCAAACAAGGTCTTGTATAAATAGGGGCAGACGCAGACCTTAAAAGTTAGGGGAAATAATCGAACTTGCAAAGAAATTGAGAGAAATTTTACAATCGAAAATTTACGTCCAAAAAAAT